GTAAGAACTCTGTATCAAGCAAAATGATCCTTCAAGAATGGAGGAGAAATCAAAACATTCTCAGATAAACAAAAACTGAGAGAATTCATCAATAGTAGACCTATCACACCAAAAAATGTGCAAGAGAGTTCTTCAGGCTGAAATGAAAGGACACTAGACAGACAAGAAATCATAATGGAAATTAGAAAATATTTGACATGATACTATACAAAACCACAACATTCCAAAACTTATGGAATGTAGCTAAAGCAGTACTTAGCAGGAAATCTATAGCTGTAAAATGCCTATATTAAAAAAGAAGAACGATCTCAAATCAATAGCCTAGGCTTCCATTTTAATAAACTAGAAAAAGCAGAGCAAATTAAACCCCAAGCAAGCAGAGAAGAAAGGAAATAATAAATATTAGAGCAGCTATAAAAGAAATAGATTATAGAAAAACAATAGAGGAAATCAGTAAAACTAAAACATGGTTCTTTGAGAAATCAACAAAATTGGAAAATCTTTAGCTAGACTGACCAACAAAAAAAGAAAAGATTCAAATTACTAAAATCACAAATGAAAGAGGAGGGCATTACTACAGACCTTACAGAAATAAAAAGAATTATAAGTGAAAATTATGAGCAATTATATGCCAACAAATTAGATACGAAATGATGAAATTCCTAAAAATACTGAAATTGACTCAAGAAGAAATAGAAAATCTGAACAGACTTCAGATTTAATAAATAAAGAATAAGTAAAGAATAATAAGTAGAGAAATTGAATTAGGTAATTTAAAAGTTTCCCACAAAGAAAAGCCCAGAACCAGATGGCTTCACTGGAGAAGTCTATCAAAAATATAAAAAGGACTAGCTCTCTGGAAGGCCAAGGCGGGTGGATTGTTTGAGCTCAGGAGTTCGAGACCAGCCTGAGCAAGAGCGAGACCCCGTCTCTACTAAAATTAGAAAGAAATTAATTAGACAACTAAAAATATATAGAAAAAATTAGCCGGGCATGCCTGTAGTCCCAGCTACTGAGGAGGCTGAGGCAGGAGGATCACTTGAGCTCAGGAGTTTGAGGTTGCTGTGAGCTAGGATGACGCCACAGCACTCTAGCCCGGGCAACACAGTGAGACTGTCTCAAAAAAATATATATATATAAAAAAGAATTAAAACAAATTCTTCACAAATTCAAACAGAAGGGAATACTTTCTAACTCATTCTATGAAGCCAGCATTACCCTGATATCAAAAGCAAAGAAATCTCAAGAAAAAAAACAATACAGACCAGTATCACTTATAAATATGAACACATATTTTCTTAACAATATTTATTAAAGTCAGCAACATATGGAAAGAATTACACACCCTGAACAATTGGGATTTATCCCAAGATTGCAAGGTTGTTTCAACATACAAAAATCAATCAATATACTACACCATAGTAATATGATAAAGGACAAAAACTACATAATCAAATCAATAGATGCAGAAAACACACTTAAGATTCAATATCCTTTCATGACAAAAACACTCAACAAACAAGGAGTAGAAGGGAACCTCCTCAACCAGACAAAGGGCATCTATGAAAAATCCACAACTAACATCATTTTTAATGGTGAAAGACTCAAAATCTCCACTCCCACCACTTCTATTCAGTATTTCACTGGAGGTTCTAGCCAAGGCAATTAGGCAAGAAAAATAAAAGGCATCTAGATTGGAAAGGGATAAACAAAATTTTCTCTCTGTAGATGGCATAGATTTCTATATAGAAAATCCTAAAGAATAAACTATTGGGGCTAATAAATAGATCCAGCAAGGTAGTAGAATATAAAATAAATATATAAGAAATTAATTGTATTTCTATATACTAGCAATGAACAATCCATAAATCAAATTGAGGACATAATTCCATTTATAATAGCATCGAAAAAACAAAATACTTATGAAAAACAAAATACTTATGAAAAATATAACCAAAAAAGTACAAAACTTGTACCCTGTAAATGACAAGACATTGTTAAATAAAATTAAAAAAGACCTAAATAAATGAAAAGACATCCCATGATCATTGACTGGAAAACTTAATACTGTTAAATGGCAAATCTCCCCAAATTGATCTACAGATTAAGTTTAATCCCTATCAAAATTCCAGATGCCCTTTTTTTTGCTAGAAATTGACAAGCTGACCCTAAAATTCATATAGAAATGCAAGGGATCCAGAATAGTCAAAAAAAAAAAAATCTTGAAAAAGAAGAACAAAGTGGGAGGACCCACATTCCCAATTTCAAAACTCTCTACACAGGGGGGGAACCAAGGGCAACACACGTAACCTAAACGTATGTACACCCATAATTTGCTGAAATATAAAAAAAAAAAAAAACTCTCTACACAGCTACTGTAATCAAGACTGTGATACTGGCCTAAAGACAGATATAAAAATCAAATGGGCCGGGCGCAGTGGCTCACGCCTGTAATCCTAGCACTCTGGGAGGCCGAGGGGGGCGGATCGTTTGAGCTCAGGAGTTCGAGAGCAGCCTGAGCAAGAGCGAGACCCCGTCTCTACCAAAAATAGAAAGAAATTAATTGGACAGCTAAAAATATATAGAGAAAAAATTAGCCAGGCATGGTGGCACATGCCTGTAGTACCAGCTACTCGGGAGGCTGAGGCAGGAGGATCGCTTGAGCCCAGGAGTCTGAGGTTGCTGTGAGCTAGGCTGACGCCACGGCACTCTAGCCCGGGTAACATAGTGAGACTCTGTCTCAAAAAAAAAAAAAAAAAAAATCAAATGATTTTCAACAAGGGTGCCAATACAATTCATTGGAAGAAAGAATAGTCTTTTCAACATATGATAGTGGGACAACTGGATATCCACAAGCAAAAAGCCAAAGTTAGACCCCTTCTTTACACCATGCACAAAAATTAACTCAAAATGGATCAAAGAGTTAAATCAAAGAGATAAAACTACAAATTCTTAGATGAAAACATGGGGGTAAATCTTTGGGACCTTGGATTAGGCAATAGTTTCTTTGATAAGATACCAAAAGCACAAAGATCCGAAGAAAGAAAATAAAGAAGGCTTCTTCAAAATTTAAAACTTTTGTGCCTCAAAAGACAACACCAAGGAAGTAAAAGAGAAAACCCACAGAATGGAGAAAATATTTGCAAACCATGTATCTGATAAAGCTCTAGTATTCAGAATATATAAAGAATTCTTATAACACAATGATAATAAGATAAAATGGGCACGAATAGATACAAAGGATCTTAATAGACATTTCTCCAAGGAAGAAATACAAATGGCCAATAAGCACATGAAAAAAATGTTCAACACAATTAATCATTAGAGAAATTCAAATCAAAACCACAATGAGATACCGCCTCACACCTACTGAGATAACCATAATCGAAAAGATAATAAAAAGTATTGTCAAGGATCTGGAGAAATTGGAATCCTTATACATTGCTGGTGGGAATATTGCATACTGCAGCCAGAGTTCCTCAAAATGTTAAGTGTGGACATACCATATGATCCAGCAGTTCCACTCCTAGGTATGTACTGATTCAAACTACAACATGGATGAACCTTGAAAACATTATAGTAAATGAAAGAAGGACATATTATATGATTCCATTTATATGAAATGTCCAAAATAGGCAATTTCTGTAGACACAGAGGTAAATTAGTGTTTTCCAAGGGCTGGAGGGAGGAAAGAATAGGGAGTCAATGCTAATTGGTATGGGATTTATTTTGGGGGTGAGAAAGATCTGTGGTTATATAAGATTAATAAAATATTTTTAAACGTTCTGGAATTAGTGGGAATGATTACATAAATTCATGAATATACTAAAACTTGCTGAATTACATACTTTGAAGGGGTGATTTTTTTATGGTATGTGAAATAGCTCCAAAAAAAAAAAAAAAGAAAGGGGGCTCTTCTGAGCCCCAAACCCTAGTCTTCCTCCACAGAGGCAACTAATGTTACTTGTTTCTTGGATATCATTCCTGAAATAGACTGTGTATATCTGAACATATATTTGTGGGTCTACAAGCCCCTTGTTAAAAACAGAAATACGAGCATAACAGATACATTGTTCTAGACTTTTTTTCTTCTTTATAACTTGGAGATTATTCCATTTCAACACATGTAAGTATTGTTTATTCCTTTTTATTTTTTGATATTCTATAATTTAGTCGGCTAGTCTTTTGCTGTTACATATAATGTTGCCATTAATTCCCTTGTATATATTTCTGGTAGAAGGATGTGAATAGGATACATTTCTAGTAAAATTTCTAGTCGAAATATTTTTCTTGTTTTATTTTAATAGAATACCATTATTGACTTAATGTCTCTCTTTCTCACTTGATTATGAGTTCCCTGAGAACAGGGACCATGTCTATTTTCTTGACCAGAGTACATCTAGATTCTAGCACATTGCCTGTCATACTGCACATTGTAGATTGACAAATCCTGTGTGTTTTGTTGTACAAAGTGTCAAATGGAGACTCAAAGTTATATCATTCAAAAAATCACGATCCAGTTTATAGGACAGGAATTGTTTTGGATGTTTTTTTTTTTTTACTTTTTATCCAGTTATTTGTTTTTTATTTTTCCTTTCCAACTCTAGTATTTTCAAAAATTGTGGGATCAATTGCAATGTATCATTCTAAGAAAGACAGAATCCTTAATTTCATCTGAATATATGAGTATGTTTTAGTAAATGAATTCCTATTTCTTATATTTCAGTATTCTGTATCAGTTCTTTTTTTTTTAAAGGGGAAAAATGGGGTGGATTTGCAACATTAAGAGACCTAATAGCGACACCTGCTGGAAAAAATGTCAGAATAAATTTTGATCCATTAAAACTGTAAAATTTTAGACCAGTTTTATGTTTCTATTCATCAGGAAGAAATTTGTTATTTTACTATATGGATGTCTGTAGTAAGTAAATGTAATTGTTTATAAGAGACTCTTCGATGTTTTACAAAATTACAGATGAAAATATATTTTCTTTTTTTAGGATAAAGTCATTTTGGGAACCGATTATCCCTTTCCACTAGGTGAGCTGGAACCTGGGAAATTGATAGAGTCCATGGAAGAATTTGATGAGGAAACAAAGGTATATGCATTTTACTTCATAGTCTTCCTCCTGAGTTTTCCTGCTCTAATTGGGTCTGGTTTCAGAGCACTTTGATACATGTAACAAAGAATGGAGGAACCATTACACTTAATATTCCTAGAACTATTAATATCACTCTTTCTCCAGAAATAGTTAAACTATTAAAGGGCAAAAGAACATGACAAAGCTGAAAGTCAGCCTAGCACAACTAAATTCATAAAGCCCAGAAAAAAAAATTGTATCATAATAATATTAATATATGCCTGAATGTTAAATGGATCATAAGAAAAATGACTAAATTTTTCCTTTAATATTTCTATTACAAATCCATCAATCTCAAAAGTTGTAATGACTCTAGTTATTTGGATATTGAGACTAAAGTCTGATTAACAAGGACCCAAGGAATCTTAACCCCCAAGTAACTGGATTTTTTTTTTTTTTTTTGGCATTTCACTTTTAAGGTGGCTAAATGACACTAAAATGTGCTATAATGCTACCACTATCTAGTCTACCCTTTGGCTCCTGAACCAAGATAAGTTTAAAATGAGATGCAATGTCTTTAGATTCCCTCTCCTTTGCCATCTCCTTCCCCACCCCATCCTCCAAAAAACCAAATTCTTCCTAAGGGTTTCACCACCAATCACTACCAGGGATCAGAGAGAGCCAAAAGTGAAAATATGAAGATGTTTAAACTCTTAATAAATCTTACATAAGTCTTAGTCATAATCCTTTTGCATAATTTTGGCTTTTTTCTAAACTAGAATCCAAAGGTTGCCTTGAACTCTCTCTCCTTTAACTGTTAAATATACAGCTATGTTGTTTTTGAGGTATAGGAGTTAAAAAGAATAAAGTAAAAAAAAAAAGATATAGCCTATCAGATCTTCTCAATAGGCTTGAAGCACATTAACAGATGCCAAGAAGAGTTCATTCTGGTGTATACAAGTATACAATGTATCATTCTGATGCATTGTAAGTTATTAACTGGGAAACCTCAGACTGTTTTACACAGAAAGTGTCCCCTTTGGAACTTACCCATCTTAAGGCACTAAAAGTTTTGAATTGTTAAATATTTACCTGTTAAAGTAGGAAGCTATACTAAGACTTTTTATCATTTTTTTACAACAAAGGTTGAAAATGAAAAACTTTCTATAAAGTTAAACAAAATTAAACAGAAACCAGATGACCCCAAGTATCCTGATTAAGAATTATAGTAATTCTTAATAATAGTAATTATTATTTTAGGCCTTTTATTGTTTATCCTGATATGCTTATCACTCTCAAGTTTCAAAAAATATCTTGCATAAAAATGTTATACTGTCACAAATTCACAATGACATTCTATACAAGGTTATTCATTGTAACATTGTAAAAAAATACTGAAAATAATCTTTAGGAGACTAGTTAAATAAATAATAATATATACAAACAATGGAATCTATGCAGCCATAAAACATCAATTTCCAAGATATATTAAGTTTTAAAAAAAAAAAGCAAGGTGTAAAACAATTTGTATGGTCTACTTCCATTTGTAGATAGTACACTATCTGTTTGTGGAAAAGAACATCCATATACCTGAATATAAGTATTTGCTTGTACAGTGTAAGCATAAAATATCTCTGGAAGAATAAACAAGAAACTGTTAACTCTGGAAAGAAAAAGTGGTGGTTGGGTGGCAGAGTGGAAATCAGTACCCATTTTAAACCTTTTGAATTTTGAACCATGTGAAGGCAAAAACAGCTAAAGAAATTTAAAGTAAAATAAACAAATCCATTTGATAAGTATAATAACACTGGGAGGTACAGGAGTCCCCCCTTGTCCATGGTTTCACTTTCCACGGTTTTACTTTCCACAGTTTCAGCTGCCCTTGATCAACCATGGTCCAACAATATTAAATGGAAAATTACAAAAATAAACAATTCATAAGTTTTAAGTTGCATGTTGTTCTGAGTAGCGTGGTGAAATTTCACACCATTCTGCTCCATCCTACCTGGGACGTGAATCATCCCTTTGTCCAGTGGATCTACACTATAGATGCCAGTCACCCATCAGTCACTTAGTAGCAATCTTGCTTATCAGGTCAACCATCACAGTATCGCATCATGATAGAGCAGTGCTTGTGTTCAAGTAACCCTTATTTTACTTAATATTGGCTCCCAAACATGAGACTAGAGAAGCTGGCAATTCAGATATGCCAAAGAGAATCTGTAAAGTGCTTCCTTTAAGTGAAAAGGTGAAAGTTCTCAACTTAATAAAGAAAAAAACATCATATGCTGAGGCTGAGGTTGCTAAGTTCTTACTTTGTAAGAACAAATCTTCTATCCATGAAGTTGTGAAAAAAGAAAAAGAAATTTGTGCACAGTGTATATAGGATTCAGTACTATCTGTAGTTTCAGGCATCCACTAAGGGTCTTAGAATGTATCCCCTGTGGATAAGGGGGGGACTACTGAATACAGGCAGATGCATTCCACCATGAAGTAGCGGAGGACTTGGGGGTTGGGTGAGTTGCCAAAAGGCGATATAACTGTTGGGTGATAGCACATGGATGCAAACCCAAATCCCCTGATACCAGGATCAGATCTCTATCCAACACACCAAAGGTTATCTCCTTCAGAGGATACTTGGTAACAAGCTATTTTAAAAGAAAAACAAATGGTCTCTCCCAGCAGCAACAGTCACTCTGAACTCTTCCTCTAGAGAAGGATGGCCCAAGTGTGCATCAGCAAAGAACCTTGAGTAAGAGGTCCCTACCTCAAATCACCCCCTTTTCAAGGCTGTGTAAGAACCCTGAAATGGTCATGGAATGGATGTTACACAACTCCATACATTCCTTCTCCCCTCAGCTGCATGCCCATCCTTTGCAAGCTGAACATAGATCAATGAGGGTATCACCTCTTTAGGTGGAGAAAAATTGGGGAGTCTTGTTCTCATGTGAAATTTATAAGATATACAGATTTGTATCCTCATCTGAGACTCTTGACCTGTATCATGTCTCTGGCTCTGAAAGAGTTTACCTTTTATTCAGGGCCATGTTAAACACACACACACATCCCTAGAAGCTGGGGGATGGCTAGGTGACTTCTGGGCACTGTTTCTAGTCCTGTTGTCCCACACACCTAAACTGTACCTTTTCTCTGTATTTGCCTCCAAATAGTCCTTAAGATCCACTAGAGGGTCATTAAAGATTTCCAAAGAAGGGTACTGTCTGAGGAGGGCTCTCCCCGTTAGAAGTCTCTTCCTCTCCTACAATAGTCTCAGATTTAGATTTGAGCAAAATGTGGGTCAAGCGGATTTTGGTAAAAGAGTCACTGTATAACCAGCTAATATTTTTCTCTCATATTGGGGAAGTGATAAAGATATTCAATATAGTACTTTTAAAACATGGTTCACGCCTGTAATCCTAGCACTCTGCGAGGCCGAGGCAGGTGGATCGTTCGAGCTCAGGAGTTCGAGACCAGCCTGAGCAAGAGCGAGACCTCGTCTCTACTAAAAATAGAAAGAAATTAGCTGGACAACTAAAAATATATAGAAAAAAAAAAAAAATTAGCCGGGCATGGTGGCGCATGCCTGTAGTCCCAGCTACTCGGGAGGCTGAGGCAGGAGGATCACTTGAGCCCAGGAGTTTGAGGTTGCCGTGAGCTAGGCTAACGCCACGGCACTCTAGCCCGGGCAACAGAGTGAGACTCTGTCTTGGAAAAAAACAAAAACAAAAACAACCACCAATAATGCTTTAAAATAAAACCTTTTCTTTTCTTTTTCAGGATAAACTTAAAGCTGGCAATGCCCTGGAATTTTTGTGTCTTGAAAGAAAACAATTTGAATGATTGAATTTACTGCAAAGGCAAACTTTCAAAAAGACATTTCATTTTTGTTTTGAAATATGTATCATACATATATTACTAAAATCTTATTTTGAACTATTTTACCTAGAAATAGAATATCCCAAATATCCTAAATTATTCACAACAAAAGTGATTCACAAGTATTTTCATTCTGAAAAGCAGTACATTTCATGAGCAAATCAAAAATGATTTTCCTTAAAAAAATTATTTTTAAATGAAAATAAAGATTGGTACCAATTGAGTGTTTAAAAAATAAACAAAAATGATTTTCCCAGTGCCTTTTTAATTAATCTGTAAGAAATAAAAAACAAAATGTCATTAATGATTTATACAAAGACCAACACCAGATTCATCTAGAAGGCTCAGGTAGGTTCTTCATTTTGAGCAAGGATGTATGAATTCCACCCAATTTACCTTTCATACCTTCCATTATCCCCAAACTGGACTGGGAATGATTTAGCCTCCACAAAATAAATGACATACATATAAAATATCCACAACCTTGAGAAGCTTCCAGCCCAATTAGGGAGGCAAGATACATGTTCATGGAATAGTTACTAAGCAATACAACATGAGTGTCAAAGAAGTTCCACTTAAGAGGAATTCACTTTGGTCTCAAAGTGCTGGGCAGATCTTCACAGAGGTCAGAACTTGGGCTGAGTCTAGGAGGATGGATAATGTGGTTTTAGGGATAGAGGAGGGGAAATAGACAGGAAAGTGAAACTATGGGAATACAGCTATGGTTTCTGACTGAATGAGACTTACCCATCCTGGAAAAATGTTTCCGTCTGCAAATTTACTTTTACCATAAGCTCTTTTAAAATACTGAGCAGAATATATAAAGATAGCTATGGAAAGTGAGCAGGGCAATACCAGGGTAGTCTTGTTCTACACACTTCATTTATGGTCCCACTTGAGCTGCTGAAAAGGAACCTGGCCCTGGGAGGGGTGAACTACATCTGTGGTTGATCTACCTCTCACCGAATTCCAAAATCAAATATAATTTTTCAAAACTATCCTTTCACTTTGGACTCATTTATTCTTCTTTTCCCTTCCATTAGTCCAGAAAATCAAGAGTAGAGTATTGATATGTGATTTGTACTGACCCCTCTCCAGAGCAAAGAAAAAATCTAATTCTTACTGAACTATGCCCATCCCACTATTTTCACTTTATATAGTTCATTGTTCCATCTCTTTCTTGGTCCTCCTGCTGCTTTCCAGGATTTTAGCCACCCACCACTCTGCTTACTACTCCTATCTGCCTAAAGAGAAAAAATTGAACAAAGCAACAACATGAAGCATATGCTACTGTTTTTCTCCTTCCCCAATCTTTGGGGGAAATGTCTACACCTTTTCAAATAGTCTATGTTTGAGCACTTTGAACACAGTGTTTAATGACTGTTTTATTATAAAAAGTAACCTAATCACTTTATGCAATATCATATGTATAGTGAATGGGTATATTCATATACACAGAGTGTTTTCTATGTGCCCCAGACTGCAGGAACACTCCAGGCACGGCAGAAGTAAACAAAAAGGATAAAATTCCTTCACTGGCAAAGCCTACAATCTAGATAGTAAGAAACATTAATAAATGAAGGAAGGAGTAAGAAAAAGAAGCAACAGTAGGAGGAAAGGAGGAGGAAAGAAAGAAGGAAATTTTTCTTATACTGATAAATACTATGAAGAAATTAAAAATGTGACAAAGAGTGACTAGGAGAAAGGAGGGAGATAAAATATTAAATTGCAGGGCCAAAGAAACTCTCTTTAAAGAGGACTTTGAACTGAGATTTGAATAACAGAATGGGGAAGAGCCTTCCAGACAAAGTGCAGAGGCTCTGAGGCAGAAAAGAGCTTGTTTGTGGTTTTGATTTGCATTTCCCTGATGATTATAGATGTTGAGCATTTTTTCATGTTTTTTGGCCATTATTCTGTCTTCTTTTGAAAAGTTTCTGTTCATGTCCTTTGCCCACTTTTTGATAGAGTTGTTTGATTTTTTCTTGTTGAT